CCCTTCCAAACCACGTGAGGGACCGCCGGCCTCTTGGGAGGGTCAGATCCTGCTCGTGTGAAAACAACCAGAAAAAAAAAATAATAATATAAAAAAAAAATCTAATTTTTCCAAAAATGCTGTGTAAACAGCATGCCAAGCGGAGCTGCTCCTGAATTTGAAGACAGCCTTTAACAGGAGCCTCGAGCTGTGCCCCTGGTCACCAGCGGGGTCATGGAGCAGGACGCGGAGATCCTGCGGGCAGGTGGCCGTGCCACGCGCGGTGCCAGCGGTGGGAGCGCTGGGGGGAAACCGGTCCCACTGAGAGTACCCCCGTGCCCCTTCCCCTCACAGCAATCTCATGCCATAGGAAGGTCAGCTCACTCTAAGGCCACGTTAACTCTTCCATTTCTGCCACACAATTCTGCGTTTAATGAATGAAAGGCTCTCCAGACAACAGCCAACTCCGCCTTCTAAGCATGACCCCGTGATCTATAGCTAAAAGCACCACAACTACTACTGGGAAAAAAAAAACAAACCCAAACACAGAAGATAGCAATTCCAGATTTTGATTTATAATCAAAATATATTTTTAACGGTCCCATTAATTTCATTTAGAACTTCACAGGTATTTTGTTGGAACGCTGAGCACCCCGGTGCCACAGCAGATGCAAAGGAAAAAACCTTCCAGAACCTGCTTCAGCATCACAATTCCCTCTTCCCAGCATTTAAGAATATGTATCAGTGCTTGATCTTAATATACGTGAATTTATCTGCCGAGGGTAGTAACAGAAAGGGAGATTGCAAATGCTTATATTTAATATCGTAAGAACATGCAAAGCTTAAATACAATGCTCTTGTTTGGGGGAAAAAAATCCAAGCTGTGGCAAAAGGAACCATTCCTGAGAGGACGCTGCGATATCTGCCGCTTCCTAGGATGGCAAAAGTATGTAAATCGCCGCTGATATTTTTAAATTGTATTTATTTATAGATTTGTATCACGCACCCGTCGCTCAGCATCTGGGTCCACGTATGAAAATAATACGTGTCGTTTGGCTGCAAATCATTGGGGAAGCACGTTCTTGCTCCTGGGATACGGATCTTTACAAATCCCATCCCCGCAACAAATGCCTGAGGGGAAAAGGAAGGGGAAGGGGAAAGGAGAGAGGAGAAGGACGAGAAGAAGGAGAAGGAGAGAAGGAGAAGAGAAGAAGAGGGGAGGAGAAGGGGGAAGGGAAGGGGAAGGGGAAAGGGAAAGGGAAAGGCAGAAAGGAGCATCGCAGGGGGGACTGCAGTGAGGGGTACATGGTGCGCAGCCCCTTTGGGCCAAAAGCAGAGTTTTTTGGGTGCTGGAACCTCACTGCATTTTTAAAGACACTTGGGCTGACCTTCCGAATGCCTCCTGCGCACGGGTTAGCTCCGTACTTGCAACTCGTCGCCTCGCGCCTTTTTCCTAGTGAAACGCTCTTGCACACTTGGGGTTGGCACAGGGCTTCGGTGTCACACGTTTAAACACCGCGCCGGGAACACCACCAGCTGAACGTCACCCTCCCCGGGCTGCGCCTTCTGCTGGGACACAGCAGCCAGGGGAAGGTCACAAAACCAGCAGGAGCCAAGGAAAGATCGAAAAAGAGAGCAATTCTAAAAAAGCTTCTGAAATGACACCGCACGTAACGTAGAGTTGCACACGTGTCCTGCCCGTGGTTAAAAAATTAACACACTCGTGTAAAATCCATCCAAGCAGCGCGTATTTTCGAGGCCCTTCTCCTGCAGACCTCTATTCACCCAAGGAACGCCGCCAAAGTCAATGGAAACGCTCTTGTAAACAAGGACTTACAAGAACCCGACGTGACAATGATTTCAAAAGGAGTTTTGACTGTGCAATTGTTGCTGGATTAGGGTCTTGAGGAAAAAAAGAAAACACAAAAAACACCCGAGCTCGCTCTGAAGAGCACAGAATTCAAATCTGCTGAGAGCTGGGGCCTCCCAAGAGCGGCTCCCGGGAAGCGCCGAGGGAGATGCTCAGCCCCGAGCGCGGGAACGGGATGACAAAACCCCCACGGAAGGGATGGAGTCTCCCGGAAAACACAGGCTCTCCTCCCTCCCTTTGAGAAGCCACTGACCTAAACTGAACCGGATCACATCGCTGCCAAGACGAGCACAGAATAAACCGTACAAGTACCTCGTCACAAAAAAAACCACAAGAAAACCCCCCTAAAACTAAAAAAACCCACCACAACAAACCAAAAACAAGAGGAAAAAAAAAAAGAACACAAACCGCTTGGCAGACATTTTCAACAAAACAAGCCTATTCAGTGAAATTCTCCTTTAAAATAATTAATTCAACGACAAACCAGCAGCAAAGATCAGAAGCACGAATGGCAGAATTTATCAGTAGCGCTCACCCAGGTAAGTAAAAGTTTGTAATAAATAGAGCGCCCGTTACTTCGCTTCTATAAATGCAAAACAGAGCAACGATACAAATGACAAATATAAATGAGTTAGACACGGACTCCATGAGTTTAAGAAGTCTCCCCTTATTTAATAAAGCATGAATTTTTTTTTTCTTTAGAAACACTAACAGATCCCTCGCAGATCTTTTTTTTCTTTATATTATTATATAAGACATTTTGTATTTAAAGTGAACTATTGCTTCACCTAGGTGGCCCCTCCGCTGGGCGTAGGAACTAGGTTGTGAACAAAATAAAAAAAAAAATCATCATTGAAAATTACAAATCATACAACTTCAAAGCATTTTGAATTTTTTTTCCCCCCTCAGTCCAAAGAGATAAATAATTGGATCGCTGGGAATGCAGAAGTCTGTGTTTTAGCATAAATTTCTGTGTCTACGTAAAATAAAAAAGCCAGCCAGAGTCACAATTAGTTGAGAGACGAAGGAAAATATGCAATTATAGTTCATCCCATTCTATTAGCTCAGCAGGTGGAAAACGTTTAAACCAGTGACTTTTCAGAACTGAACCTAATTCTTTGCTTCTAACACGGGTCAAAGTCCTCTTGGAATCAGCGAGCCTTTTGCTTTTGAAGAACTGAGTATTTGGGATTCTGCAATCATTTATAATTAAAACATGAAATCCGTCATTTCATAGGGTTGCAGGCTTTTTTGTTTTGTTTTGTTTCATTTTTCTCCAAGAAAATTAGTATGTATCTAGTGCAAAGCAAAGCACTCTCCCCTGCTGCCCTTCAGAGAACTTCATATGTATCAAATGCTATTAAACAATTGGCTTTGCATCCACTCTGAAAAAAAAAGGATTAAAATTACTTTCCTGACATTGAGGTTATGCCGTGTTCAAAACCATCCAATTAGGAAAAAAAAAAAAAAAAAATCACCTTCAGAAAATTAATTTCCCCAGGAAGGGATCAATTAAAAACCATTAGCTTCACGAGTTGTTTGGGGTTTGTTTTTTTTTTCTTTTCTTTACATTTACAACGCATTTTTGTTCAGGCAAAAAGTGAGCATTTCAGATAGGTTTTTCTCTTAGCGCAGACCAAAGAGAGGTGAAAATATTTACATTTTCCAAACCGGAAACTAATCGAGTTGTTAAGGTACAGTGTAACCCACTATTTGTACTTCAACAACCGGGGCTGCAGCTGGAAAGAAAAAGCTGGAGCTGCCCCTGACGGTTCTCTCTGCACCAACACCGGGGCTGAGACTTCTCCCGAAGCAAAAGAGCTCTACAGGATTATCAGCAAAGTGGATCATTCTTTCTCAGGGCTATTTTAGTCAAGAGAATCCATTTTTTAAAAAAATGAAAATGGCTTAAAACATCAAAAAGAACCACAAGTTATCTAAACATCAGGTTTTCTAATTTTATTAAAAATGCACAAATTTTATCCAACATGTTTTCTTTCATACAGTGAATGGTCTAATATGCACTGGAGGTCACACAAGCTTAGGTTTATTAGAACAATAAAAGACATATGAGAAATTTAATATATAAAGAAAAAAGTAGCAGCTGTTGACTGCATATTTGACCATAAAATTTAAATATTTTGGACTTTTATTTTAAAGACACAAAAATAAAACCTGTGTGGGTCTATATAAGTCATATTAACAATTCCATGAATGTTCAACAGGACTAAAAATTAGCAAAGATGTTTGTTTTTTTTTTTTCTTTTAACCTTGTAACACTTTTTAAACACCTTCTCGGGTTGCTGGTGCAAAGCACCTTACAGTATTTGTGCTATATATTTACTTTATTTGGCAACTGTCTGGGTTTCATGGGTTTTTTTTTTCTTTGCCTTCTGTAAACAACACCTTTTACAAACTAGCACAGTGAACCACAAGCCCTGCGATCTGTTATAACATCTACAGAAAAGAAAATGAACTATTTTGGTTGGTTGCTCAAAATATTTTGCTTTTGAACAAGAGGTTCTAAAACAGGATTTATTAGTAAAACATTGAACTCCTGAATTTAACATTAGACGTAAACAGTTGACTGCTTTTAGTTCAATAGAGTCTTTTTGTTTAGCTTTTCTCTCTCTGTGAAGGTAGAATACTTTGTTTGTTTGTTTGTTTGCTTTTTTCAAGTCATTTTCATTAGAGGTCTGGGTGCTGACCTTTGCTATGATGAGGAGGTTTTTGTATGTGTAGCTTTGTGAAGGTAGAAGAGTTGGCGCTGAGGGCTTAACATTTAGTATTTGCTATTTCGGAAAACAAAACAAAAGGAAAAGGAAAAAGAAAGTTGTCCCACCTGGTAGTCAGCAGGCTGAAATGGCTGAAGCTAAAAAGAGTTTCTTGTTGTCGAACTTTCTGAGAGACAAAAATTAACAAACAAATTCATAATGCCAGTACCATCCTTAACCGGGAACGCTAGAGTTCTTGAAGCTTTTTTTCCCCCTTTTTCTTTGACCTTTCCTTCATTCAATTATCTTTTTGTTTGTTTGCTTTCTGTGTTTTGTTTTGTTTTTTAATTAGAAGTTTCTAAGGATTGTGGCTCTTAGGATGACGTCCGACAGGGTAATCAAACTGACGCCATCCTACGGCATGGCAGCACTTTACTGTACAGCTTCCCCAGTTTCTTTGTCAATGGTACAAAAAAAGTCCCCTTGCTTGTTTGATACAACCATAACATGAAGATTGTCCTGGTCTAGAGCAAAGCTTGCCTTGGAGCGATTTGGATTCAGTTCGTTCCCAAGGTAATATTGTCTTAGGGCAGGAGAGATGTTATATTTATTCATTTCTGTACACCGTAACAATAAGCAGACTAGATGATCATCACTTACTTAGACCCAAGTTTGTTTTAAAGCTACCACACAGCTGCTTCATTCATTTCTGGTGGATGTGACAAGTGATTGCCATAGTTAGCACCACCGTTGACGGATATCGATGAAAAAGGAGGGCTGGGGCCAAAAACTTCGGCGGACATGGAGTGCAAGGACCCGGGCAGGTTGGGTTCGGGGCTGGGCGAGTCTCCTGGCGGATGCGACATGATGTCGGTGAAGCGCTGAGCCTCACTGGAGGGGTGATGTCCGGGCAGGGGGTGATCCATGGCCCCCAGGGGAGTGCCTGATGGCCCCGAGGAGGGCACGAACGGGAGATCCACGGGCGTCTGGGCTTGCGAGGAAGGAGGTCCTTGCGGGAAGAAGTCGTAATTGCTTCCAGGGCCGTAATACTCGCTCTGGTAATCTGGGGGAGAAGGAGAGACAGAGGCAAGGTGACGCACGGGCAAAGAAACGG